GGGATACATACACTCTGTGTCAGTGGGGATACATACACTGTGTCAGTGGGGATACATACACTCTGTGTCAGTGGGGATATATACACTGTGTCAGTGGTGATACATACACTGTGTCAGTGGGGATACATACACTGTGTCAGTGGGGATACATACACACTGTGTCAGTGGGGATACATGCACTGTGTCAGTGGTGATACATACACACTGTGTCAGTGGGGATACATTCACTGTGTCAGTGGGGATACATACACACTGTGTCAGTGGGGATACATACACTGTGTCAGTGGGGATACATACACACCGTGTCAGTGGGGATACATACACTGTGTCAGTGGGGATACATACACAGTGTCAGTGGGGATACATACACTGTGTCAGTGGGGATACATACACACTGTGTCAGTGGGGATACATACACTGTGTCAGTGGGGATACATACACACTGTGTCAGTGGGGATACATACACTGTGTCAGTGGGGATACATACACACCGTGTCAGTGGGGATACATACACTGTGTCAGTGGGGATACATACACAGTGTCAGTGGGGATACATACACTGTGTCAGTGGGGATACATACACACTGTGTCAGTGGGGATACATACACTGTGTCAGTGGGGATACATACACACCGTGTCAGTGGGGATACATACACTGTGTCAGTGGGGATACATACACTGTGTCAGTGGGGATACATACACTGTGTCAGTGGGGATACATACACAGTGTCAGTGGGGATACATACACTGTGTCAGTGGGGATACATACACAGTGTCAGTGGGGATACATACACTGTGTCAGTGGGGATACATACACTGTGTCAGTGGGGATACATACACAGTGTCAGTGGGGATACATACACAGTGTCAGTGGGGATACATACACTGTGTCAGTGGGGATACATACACTGTGTCAGTGGGGATACATACACAGTGTCAGTGGGGATACATACACTGTGTCAGTGGGGATACATACACTGTGTCAGTGGGGATACATACACCGTGTCAGTGGGGATACATACACTGTGTCAGTGGGGATACATACACTGTGTCAGTGGGGATACATACACACTGTGTCAGTGGGGATACATACACTGTGTCAGTGGGGATACATACCGAACATTTTTCTATATTCCTCAAGTGGAGAAACTTCGCTGAAATTTTCCCCGAGTCAAAGTTTTAATTCCCGAAGTTCCTGAGTTGAAGACACGGAAAGTTCAGGTGTCCAAGACTGAGCAGTCTTACTGCCACTACAGTCCAAGACTGAGCAGTCTTACTGCCACTACAGTCCAAGACTGAGCAGTCTTACTGCCACTACAGTCCAAGACTGAGCAGTCTTACTGCCACTACAGTCCAAGACTGAGCAGTCTTACTGCCACTACAGTTCAAGACTGAGCAGTCTTACTGCCACTACAGTCCAAGACTGAGCAGTCTTACTGCCACTACAGTCCAAGACTGAGCAGTCTTACTGCCACTACAGTTCAAGACTGAGCAGTCTTACTGCCACTACAGTCCAAGACTGAGCAGTCTTACTGCCACTACAGTCCAAGATTGAGCAGTCTTACTGCCACTACAGTCCAAGACTGAGCAGTCTTACTGCCACTACAGTCCAAGGCTGAGCAGTCTTACTGCCACTACAGTCCAAGACTGAGCAGTCTTACTGCCACTACAGTCCAAGACTGAGCAATCTTACTGCCACTACAGTCCAAGACTGAGCAATCTTACTGCCACTACAGTCCAAGACTGAGCAGTCTTACTGCCACTACAGTCCAAGACTGAGCAATCTTACTGCCACTACAGTCCAAGACTGAGCAGTCTTACTGCCACTACAGTCCAAGACTGAGCAGTCTTACTGCCACTACGGTCCAAGACTGAGCAGTCTTACTGCCACTACAGTCCAAGACTGAGCAGTCTTACTGCCACTACAATCCAAGACTGAGCAATCTTACTGCCACTACAGTCCAAGACTGAGCAGTCTTACTGCCACTACAGTCCAAGACTGAGCAATCTTACTGCCACTACAGTCCAAGACTGAGCAGTCTTACTGCCACTACAGTCCAAGACTGAGCAGTCTTACTGCCACTACAGTCCAAGACTGAGCAGTCTTACTGCCACTACAGTTCAAGACTGAGCAGTCTTACTGCCACTACAGTCCAAGACTGAGCAGTCTTACTGCCACTACAGTCCAAGACTGAGCAGTCTTACTGCCACTACAGTCCAAGACTGAGCAGTCTTACTGCCACTACAGTCCAAGACTGAGCAGTCTTACTGCCACTACAGTCCAAGACTGAGCAGTCTTGAAGATTGAGACACTTATGCAACATATGGGAATCTTTATTCAGGAAACGTTTCGCCACACAGTGGCTTCATCAGTCCAATACAAAGTAGAAAGGTGTAAGGAGCGGAGGAGTTTGAGGTAATCCTCCTCTCTTTACACCTTTCTACTCTGTACTGGACTGATGAAGTCACTGTGTGGCGAAACGTTTCCTGAATAAAGATTCCCATATGTTGCATAAGTGTCTCAATCTTCAACTTGTCGGTTTTTCAAACCATTCATCACACTAAGCAGTCTTATTGACTACCACTTATACTACCACTACTACCACTACTACCACTACTACTACTACTACTACTACCACTACTACTACTACTACTACTACTACTACCACTACTACTACTACTACTACTACTACTACCACCAGTACTACTATTACTACTACCACTATTATCACTACTACTACTACTACTACTACTACTACTACTACTACTACTACTACTACTACTACTACTACTACTACTACTACTACTACTACTACCACTACTACTACTACTACTACCACCACCACCACCACTACCACCACTGGTCAGTTAGGTTATAGCGACGATGGTGATATTGGTAAGTTGGGAGGCGCAGTGCTGCCTGGCTACCAGTGTTGTCACACCAGTGTGTAGTGACGGTAGTAACACTGCTGTCACACTCCCTTCAGTGAGGCTGTTACATTCCTCAGTGACTGTTACACTCCCTCAGTGACGTTGTTACACTCCTCAGTGACTGTGTTACACTCCTCCAGTGACGTTGTTACACTCCTCAGTGACGTTACACTCCCTCAGTACCTATGTACAAATTCCTTAGAAATGTCTCAAAAGTAACCACCTAGCCTTGAAGACACATTCCAGGAGAATACATGAGTGGTACCTACCTAGCGTGGGTCAGTAATACCTACCTGCCTCCCGTGGGCCAGTAGTAGTACCTCCCTACTTACCGTGGGTCAGTAGTACCTACCTACCGTGGGTCAATAGTAGTACCTACCTACTTACCGTGGGTCAGTAGTACCTACCTAGCGTGAGACAGTAGTACCTACGACAGTGGTTCATCATTCACACACCACACTATCCTCATGGCATCCCACCACATCCCTGGGCACATGCCCAGGACGATAAGAGAACTAAAACATATCAGCTAGAAAAACATCCTGAACAAATGAACAATAATGGACGGTAAGGCTAGTTTACTAGACTAACAGAAAATACTAGGTTACCAGAATATGCTAGGTTACCAGAATATGCTAGGTTACCAGAATATGCTAGGTTACCAGAATATGCTAGGTTACCAGAATACCAGGTTACCAGAATATGCTAGGTTACCAGAATATGCTAAGTTACCAGAATATGCTAGGTTACCAGAATACCAGGTTACCAGAATATGCTAGGTTACCAGAATATGCTAGGTTACCAGAATATGCTAGGTTACCAGAATATGCTAGGTTACCAGAATACCAGGTTACCAGAATACCAGGTTACCAGAATATGCTAGGTTACCAGAATATGCTAGGTTACCAGAATACCAGGTTACCAGAATATGCTAGGTTACCAGAATATACTAGGTTACCAGAATATGCTAGGTTACCAGAATAAACTAGGTTACCAGAATATGCTAGGTTACCAGAATAAACTAGGTTACCAGAATATGCTAGGTTACCAGAATATGCTAGGTTACCAGAATACCAGGTTACTAGGTCACTATACACACACACGAATCACTTCCTCGTTTATAAAAACACATTCAGCAGCGATTTATTTATTTACACTCTCTTCATGTTAGGGTATGAGAGTGAACATACCCCATACCCAGTCTTCAGGTGATCCCGACTCACATTTCTTAAAACCAGACGCTTTCCATTGTTGCTCATGTTAACCCAGCAGTATATAGGTGCCAAGGTGATAGTTAATTGTTGTAGGTGCCACCCTGGAGCGAGAAAGAGTTTGGTGTTATTGCATATATATATATATATATATATATATATATATATATATATATATATATATATATATATATATATATATATATATATATATATATATATATATATATATATATATATATATATATATATATTTGGGTGTATATACACTTGGAGATACATGTACATATTTCTAGGTTTGTATACACTACCTATAGATCAATAGCACACGCACATACTACTGGTAGTGGCCTTGGAGAGTGCCGTGTCCAGGCTGGCACCACCACTAGGCAGTGTCTGGCACTGTGGCACCCACACTTGGTGTTGAACGCGTGACTCTTGACGGTCTGAATTATCAATTTCTTCCTCCATTATATACACACCAACAGTTATTTTCCGTATGTGATGCTTGAGGTATGATCAGCCACATAGCTAAATATATATCTAAATTTTTATTATATAAATTCTGTATACATTATAGATGCTCACTCAATAGACTTGGTGTTATACTTTCAATAATTATCATTATGAATATATATAATGTAACTAATAATTTTGCTAATAATATAACTTATACCAATGATTATAATGTAACTTATACGTACCAATGATTATAATGCTAATCATATAACTAATTACATTGATAATTTTAATTAATGATTATGTTATTAATCGCATAAAATATAGTTACACACACACACATTGTTCCACATTGTTCCACATTGTTCCACATTTCTCATACTTTAATAACTTTCACAGATTGTTGTACCAGCCATAAAGAAGGCTGTACCAGCCATAAAGAAGGTTGTACCAGCCATAAAGAAGGTTGTACCAGCCATAAAGAAGGTTGTACCAGCCATAAAGAAGGCTGTACCAGCCATAAAGAAGGTTGTACCAGCCATAAAGAAGGTTGTACCAGCCATAAAGAAGGTTGTACCAGCTACAAGGAAGGTTGTACCAGCCATAAAGAAGGTTGTACCAGCTACAAGGAAGGTTGTACCAGCCATAAAGAAGGCTGTACCAGCCATAAAGAAGGTTGTACCAGCTACAAGGAAGGTTGTACCAGCCATAAAGAAGGTTGTACCAGCTACAAGGAAGGTTGTACCAGCCATAAAGAAGGTTGTACCACTACCACTGCTGGGTGATCTACGTACAGAGGCTGCTCTACAACCCTCAGAGACAACTACCTACGTCTACATCCAGAGGAAGGAGGGAGGAGGAGAAGGAGGAGAAGGAAGAGAAGGAGGAGAAGGAGGAGAAGGAAGAGAAGGAGGAGAAGGAGGAAGAGTTGTTAACAACTTCTACGTTCTCTCTCACTCTCAGTAATGGTAAGAAAAGTTTCTCACACACTAAGTATCACTTTATCTCTCTCACGCATTTATGTACATCTCTTAATGTGTCTCATTTATATATATATACACACACACACACACATATATATATATATATATATATATATATATATATATATATATATATATATATATATATATATATAAATATATATATATATATATTATATATATATATATATTATATATATATATGTCGTGCCGAATAGGCAGAACTTGCGATTTTGGCTTAAATAGCAACGTTCATCTTGCCATATAGGACAAGTGAAAATTTGTGTATGCAATAATTTCGCCAAAATCATTCTGAACCTAACGAAAAAAATATATTTCACTGTGTTTGTTTAGTATTAAATTATTGTAAACAAATCTAAAATATATACAGTTAGGTTAGGCTAAAATAAATTGCTCTTGTTATAATAAGGTTAGGTAAGTTTTCTAAGATTCTTTTGGAGCAAAATTAAAAATTTTTACATTAACATTAATGAAAAAAATATATCTTTAAACGTATAAGAGAAAATTTTAGAAAGGACTTAATTTTAAATGAGTTCTTGCTAATTGACCAGTTTTACATATTCGGCACGACATATATATATATATATATATATATATATATATATATATATATATAAAATATATATATATATATATATATATATATATATATATATATATATTTAGACGAGGAAATATTGAAGAATCGTGAAATAACATTTGATTTAACCCCCTGCCCAACCAAAAAGATATTGACTTATATTTCACAAAAAAATATATTGGATAGAATCACATTTTACGACCATAAAAAAGGGGGAAAGAACCACATTCAGTCACGAATATGTTGGTTCCACCTCCATTACAATTTTTTCTTGACATCTTCTCTGTTTAAGAAGTTCAGAGGCATTCTTGCATTTGTCTTCACCCACCTGTCACAGGTACGTCCCCCTACACCCACCTGTCACAGGTACGTCCCCCTACACCCACCTGTCACAGGTACGTCCCCCTACACCCACCTGTCACAGGTACGTCCCCCTACACCCACCTGTCACAGGTACGTCCCCCTACACCCACCTGTCACAGGGACGTCTCCCCTACACCCACCTGTCACAGGTACGTCCCCCTACACCCACCTGTTACAGGTACGTCCCCCCTACACCCACCTGTTACAGGTACGTCCCCCCTACACCCACCTGTCACAGGGACGTCTCCCCTACACCCACCTGTCACAGGTACGTCCCCCCTACACCCACTTGTTACAGGTACGTCCCCCTACACCCACCTGTCACAGGTACGTCTCCCCTACACCCACATGTTACAGGTACGTCCCTTCTACACCCACCTGTCACAGGTACGTCCCCCCTACACCCACCTGTTACAGGTACGTCCCCCCTACACCCACCTGTCACAGGTACGTCTCCCTTACACCCACCTGTCACAGGTACGTCCCCCCTACACCCACCTGTCACAGGTACGTCCCCCTACACCCACCTGTCACAGGTACGTCCCCCTACACCCACCTGTCGCTGGTTACGTCCCCTACACCCACCTGTTACAGGTACGTCCCCCTACACCACCTGTCACAGGTACGTCCCCCTACACCCACCTGTCACAGGTACGTCCCCCCTACACCCACCTGTCGCTGGTACGTCCCCCTACACCCACCTGTCACAGGTACGTCCCCCTACACCCACCTGTCATAGGTACGTCCCCCCTACACCCACCTGTCGCAAGTACGTCCCCTCACACCCACCTGTCGCAGGTACGTCTCCCTACACCCACCTGTTACAGGTATGTCCCTCCTACATCCACCTGTTACAGGTACGTCCCCTACACCCACCTGTCATAGGTACGTCCCCCCTACACCCACCTGTCGCAGGTACGTCCCCCTACACCCACCTGTTACAGGTATGTCCCTCCTACACCCACCTGTTACAGGTACGTCCCCTCTACACCCACCTGTCAGAGGTACGTCCCCCTACACCCACCTGTCACAGGTACGTCCCCCCTACACCCAACTGTCGCAGGTACGTCCCCCTACACCCACCTGTTACAGGTATGTCCCTCCTACACCCACCTGTTACAGGTACGTCCCCTACACCCACCTGCCACAGGTACGTCCCCCCTACACCCACCTGTCACAGGTACGCCCCCCTGCTCTCTTTTAAGCCATTTTTAGGATTCTCGACATGTTCTTCCACTGCTGTGAGTCTGATATGTACTCTCTTGCGTACATATCAGACACCAACTATGATTTAGATTTTTCTCATACATTATCTCCTAACCCTACAAAGATCAAGGTCCCAGGACCGAAGCGTTTTCTAATAAATATGTCGTAATGTTTGCTTACGTGTCTTCCTAAACCAGTAGGGATACATACCATGTTACTCGAAGTATGATGCAGAAGATCTAATCAAAACATTGCAGTCCAGGCAGGTGTCTCCAGCAACGTCAGCCACGTCTGGCCAGAGTGTAGACGACGGTCTCAGCGAGGAGGTAAAATATCGCCTCGAGGAACAGAAGAGTAAGGTGGACGTTCTGGGCACGCAGTACCAGGAGCTGCTGGACCAACTCACTTCATACGAATCCCAGTTATGTGAGTGGCAGAACAACCACAAGCAGCTCGTCAGCCAGCTGGAAGAGTTGCTAAGGCAGAATACTGACGCGGTGAAACTGCTGAGTAAAGAGCAGAGTAGCGTACAAGGTCTGAGGAAGCAAGTGGATGGGAGGATGAAGCAGAGGCAGGCAGTAATTGAGAGCCTCTCGGTGATTAACACTAAACGAGAGGCACTCAGAGCCATAGAAAACACTCAGGGCTACAAATCAGAGGCCGATAACTTCATGGGAAGATGTCAGCAACTTTTCCCGGATATTAACGCTGTCTTCAGCGTCATCAAGGTGAGCTGGAATAATCTGTGCGTCATGGCAACGACGTGTTTCATTGAAATTATATGAGTGACATTAGACTTACTCCTTTCCTCCATAACATGACAGTGACGCAGCAGTGACGCAGACATAACCCACACTGACAGTGTATCATACGTTATTTAATCATTCTTCCCAGCACTGATGATGTGAATCATACATAGATTAAATGTCTCATCATACACACACACACACACATATACAAATTTTCCCCACACACTATACCCATTATAGAATGGGTACAGTGTGTGTACATATAGTGCGTTCAGGAAATACACGTTCAGTATTCTCCAGGGAATACACAGACAAATACACATCATCCCACTACTGTACGTACACTGTGTCTGCAGGTGCAGGAGGCGACAAAGAAGGCGCTGGAGATGGTAGCTACGGAGACCGGTGCCTCGGAGATCACCAGCCTCCCTCAGGAAAACCTGACCATCACAGAGAAAGTGACTCGCCTCAGCTTCTTGGCCAAGATCAAGAGAACTAACTGCTTGTCTGTGAGTTGTCTTAGTACCTCTGTAACACCTGTTGACATGTGTTTACAGGAAGCGTCTTTAATGTATACTAGGCAGGTGTTTACCAGGTCCCTTGTAATATATATTAGACAAGTGACTTAACATTTCTCAGTATGATAACCCAAGAGTGCAAAAAATTACGACGGCTGTTGAGCGAATGATGGTAAATGTGCTTCCTTTATATATATATATATATATATATACACACACATACATACAAACACTTTTTTTTATTAACACATCAGCAGTTTCACACTAAGGTAGGGTGACCCGAAAAAAGAAAAAAACACTTTCATCATCACTCACTCCATCACTGTCCCGCCAGAGGACATTCTTTGCTAACAATTAACACTGTGGTTTTTATTGGTCAGTGTGGTGAGTTAAGACCACTCAGTGGTCCCATGAAGACTCTGCTGGAGGCCGGCTGGGTTATGGCCTTCCAGCAGGACCATGGTCGTCTGCGATTCTCCAGGATGACCATAGAAGAGGGTGGTCAACTGCACTTACACGTCCTGCAGCAGCAACCTGCACCTGCCCAGGTCATCACTCTCCAAGTAAGTGCTTGCCCAGGTCATCACTCTCCAAGTAAGTGCTTACCCAGGTCATCACTCTCCAAGTAAGTGCTTGCCCAGGTCATCACTCTCCAAGTAAGTGCTTACCCAGGTCATCACTCTCCAAGTAAGTGCTTGCCCAGGTCATCACTCTCCAAGTAAGTGCTTGCCCAGGTCATCACTCTCCAAGTAAGTGTTTGCCCAGGTCATCAATCTCCAAGTAAGTGCTTGCCCAGGTCATCACTCTCCAAGTAAGTGCTTGCCCAGGTCATCACTCTCCAGGTAAGTATCTAGCCAGATCATCACTCTCCAGGTAAGTACTTGCCCAAGTCATCACTTTACAGGTAAGTACCTGTCCAGGTCATCGCTCTCCAGGTAAGTACCTGCAAATTGCTTGAATATATATATATATATATATATATATATATATATATATATATATATATATATATATATATATATATATATATATATATATGTATATATGTGTGTGTGTGTGTGTGTGTGTGTGTGTGTGTGTGTGTGTGTATTTATGTATAGTCTATATTTATATAAGATTCCTCTGTACAACGTTAATGCAACATTTATATGAGAAATTGATAACATTTACTTTCGTCTGGTACAGCACAGTGCTGTGGCTAGTCTGGTGGACCCGGTGTCCACTCTGGTCTTCCTGGACCTGGCTTGGTCTGGAGTGACCAAAGGCAGGGTCTACATCCGGCTGAGCCCTGAGAATGGGCTAGCCAGACAGTTCCTGATGCTGTGCACTGGAGAGAGAGGACCTTCGTACGTAGGGACGCGCATGATCGAAGTTCACAATAAGGGCAAGTCTGGGGAGCGTGTGTGTGGTGGTGCCCACGACGATAGTGTGGTGGGGGTGGTCAGGCTCCTGCCAGGGGTGCAGGTGGGCCCTGAGTACAGGAGGGCCCCCACCGTGGGTACGGTGAGGGCAGAGTATGGCCCCGGTAGCGAGAAGAGTGCCCAGTTCTGTATCTTCCTGAGAGAGGCTGACTGGAAGATCTCCTTTGCCTTTGGTCAGGTGGAGAGTGGACTGAAGGTGGTGAAGCAAGCATCAAGGTGCGCTGACATCAAGGATGTGACAGTGGTTAACTGTGGTGTGGTGCTGCCATTATAGCGGAAGTTTGGAGACCAGTCTTACAGATCAAGCTCACAGACCAATCTTATAGGCCTTGGAGACCAATCTTACAGACCAAGCTTGGAGATCAATCTTAAAAACCAAGCTTGGAGACCAATCTTACAGATCAAGCTTGGAGACCAGTCTTACAAATCAAGTTTGGAGACCAGTCTTACAGATCAAGCTTGGAGACCAGTCTTTTTTTTGGTTTCAAAGCTTGCAGTCTACCCCAAGAGTTGTTATAACTGACTCTCACTAAGGTAATTCATATTTACCAATTATCAAAATTATCATTTAAACGACCTGTTAAAAAAACCATCATTATGTATATCATGCGACACAATATCATGCCAGCATGATTTTAAATAATTCATAATTTTACGAGGGAGACCAGCAGCGGCTCGAGGCCTTTCGCACTGTTCCCCGGGGCTTTCGTCAGGAGCTGTGCATGTTGCATACAGTCTCTCAGTATGATGACACATGATGAGTATTATAGCTTATCATTATCATCATTTCAACGGGTTATCATGTCATTATTCCTCGTATGTGTCGCTGGCTGGTCAGGATACAGTTACTGGCCTCATCTCACTACCATAATGTAACACACTTTACAAGCAATATAACTAAATATGGCCAATGTATCATCAATGTATCATCAATGTATCATCAATGTAATATAATTTCAATATAATTCCCACGAATGCCGTGTATCACACTATGTACCAGACTGTGTATCATACCATGTACCAGACTGTGTATCATACCATGTACCACACTGTGTATCATACCATGTACCACACTGTGTATCATACCATGTACAACACTGTGTATCATACCATGTACCACACTGTGTATCATACCATGTACAACACTGTGTATCATACCATGTACCACACTATGTATCATACCATGTACCACACTGTGTATCATACCATGTACCACACTGTGTATCATACCATGTACCACACTGTGTATCATACCATGTACAACACTGTGTATCATACCATGTACCACACTGTGTATCATACCATGTACCACACTGTGTATCATACCATGTACCAAACTGTGTATCATACCATGTACCACACTGTGTATCATACCATGTACCACACTGTGTATCATACCATGTACAACACTGTGTATCATACCATGTACCACACTGTGTATCATACCATGTACCACACTGTGTATCATACCATGTACCACACTGTGTCATACCATGTACCACACTGTGTATCATACCATGTACCACACTGTGTATCATACCATGTACCACACTGTGTATCATACCATGTACCACACTGTGTATCATACCATGTACCACACTGTGTCATACCATGTACCACACTGTGTATCATACCATGTACCACACTGTGTATCATACCATGTACCACACTGTGTATATATACCATGTAACACACTGTGTATCTTACCATGTACCACACTGTGTATCATACCATGTACCACACTGTGTATCATACCATGTACCACACTGTGTATCATACCATGTACCACACTGTGTATCATACCATGTACCACACTGTGTATCATACCATGTACCACACTGTGTATCATACCATGTACCACACTGTGTATCATACCATGTACCACACAGTGTATCATACCATGTACACACACTGTGTATCATACCATATACCACACTGTGTATCATACCATGTACCACACTATGTATCATACATGTACTACACTATGTATCATACCATGTACCACATTATGTATCATACATGTACCACAATATGTATCATACCATGTACCACACTGTGTATCACACCATGTACCACACTGTGTATAATACAATGTACCACACTATGTATCATACATGTACCACACTATGTATCATACCATGCACCACACTATGTATCATACATGTACCACACTATGTATCATACATGTACCACACCATGTATCATACCATGTACCACACTATGTATCATACATGTACCACACTATGTATAATACATGTACCACACTATGTATCATACATGTACCACATTATGTATCATACATGTACCACACTATGTATCATACCATGTACCACACTATATATCATACATGTACCACACTATGTATCATACATGTACCACACTATGTATCACACCATGTACCACACTATGTATCATACATGTACCACACTATGTATCACACCATGTACCACACTATGTATCATACATGTACCACACTATGTATCATACCATGTACCACACTATGTATCATACATGTACCACACTATGTATCATACCATGTACCACACTATGTATCATACATGTACCACACTATGTATCATAGTTGTACCACACTATGTATCATACATGTACCACATTATGTATCATACATATACCACACTATGTATCATACCATGTACCACATTATATATCATACATGTACCACACTATGTATCATACATGTACCACACTATGTATCATACCATGTACCACATTATGTATCATACATGTACCACACTATGTATCATACCATGCACCACACTATGTATCATACATGTACCACACTCTATCTCATACATGTACCACACTACGTATCATACATGTACCAAACTATGTATCATACCATGTACCACACTATGTATCATACATGTACCACACTATGTATCATACATGTACCACACTATGTATCATACCATGTACCACACTATGTATCATACATGTACCACACTATGTATCATACATGTACCACACTATGTATCATACATGTACCACATTATGTATCATACATGCACCACACTATGTATCGTACCATGTACCACACTATCACATATGTACCACACTATATATCATACATGTACCACACTATGTATCATACATGTACCACTCTATATATCATACATGTACCACACTATGTATCATACATGTACCACACTATGTATCATACATGTACCACACTATGTATCATACATGTACCACATTATGTATCATACATGTACCACACTATGTATCGTACCATGTACCACACTATATATCATACACGTACCACACTATGTATCATACATGTACCACACTATGTATCATACATGTACCACACTATGTATCATACATGTACCACACTATGTATCATACATGTACCGCATTAAGTATCATACATGTACCACACTATGTATCATACATGTACCACACCATGTATCATACATGTACCACACTATGTATCATACATGTACCACACTATTTATCATACATGTACCACACTATGTATCATACATGTACCACACTATGTATCATATATGTACCACACTATGCATCATACATGTACCACACTATGTATCATACATGTACCACATTATGTATCATACATGTACCACACTATGTATCATACATGTACCACACTATGTATCATACATGTACCACACTATGTATCATACATGTACCACACTATGTATCATACATGTACCACACTGTGTATCATACATGTACCACACTATGTATCATACATGCACCACACTATGTATCATACATGTACCACATTATGTATCATACATGTACCACACTGTGTATCATACATGTACCACACTATGTATCATACATGTACCACACTATGTATCATACATGTACCACACTATGTATCATACATGTACCACACTATGTATCATACATGTACCACACTATGTATCATACATGTACCACACTATGTATCATACATGTACCACACTATGTATCATACATGTACCACACTATGTATCATACATGTACCACATTATGTATCATACATGTACCACACTATGCATCATACATGTACCACACTATGTATCATACATGTACCACACTATGTATCATACATGTACCACACTGTGTATCATACCATGTACCACACTATGTATCATACCATGTACCACACTATGTATCATACCATGTACCACACTATGTATCATACCATGTACCACACTATGTATCATACCATGTACCACACTATGTATCATACATGTACCACACTGTGTATCATACATGTACCACACTATGTATCATACATGTACCACACTATGTATCACACATGTACCACACTATGTATCATACATGTACCACACTATGTATCATACATGTACCGCATTAAGTATCATACATGTACCACACTATGTATCATACATGTACCACACTATATATCATACATGTACCACACTATGTATCATACATGTACCACACTATATATCATACATGTACCACACTATGTATCATACATGTACCACACTATGTATCATACATGTACCGCATTAAGTATCATACATGTAGCACACTATGTATCATACATGTACCACACTATGTATCATACATGTACCACACTATGTATCATACATGTACCACACTATGTATCATACATGTACCGCATTAAGTATCATACATGTACCACACTATGTATCATACATGTACCACACTATATATCATACATGTACCACACTATGTATCATACATGTACCACACTATGTATCATACATGTACCGCATTAAGTATCATACCATGTACCACACTATGTATCATACATGTACCACACTATGTATCATACATGTACCACACTATATATCATACATGTACCACACTATGTATCATACATGTACCACACTATGTATCATACATGTACCGCATTAAGTATCATACATGTACCACACTATGTATCATACATGTACCACACTATATATCATACATGTACCACACTATGTATCATACATGTACCACACTATGTATCATACATGTACCGCATTAAGTATCATACCATGTACCACACTATGTATCATACATGTACCACACTATGTATCATACATGTACCACACTATGTATCATACATGTACCACACTATGTATCATACATGTACCACACTATGTATCATACATATACCACACTATGTATCATACATGTACCACACTATGTATCATACATGTACCACACTATATATCATATATGTACCACACTATGTATCATACATGTACCACACTATGTATCATACATGTACCACACTATGTATCATACATGTACCACACTATATATCATACATGTACCACACTATGTATCATACATGTACCACACTATGTATCATACATGTACCACACTATGTATCATACATGTACCACACTATGTATCATACATGTACCACACTATGTATCATACATGTACCACACTATGTATCATACATGTACCACACTATGTATCATACATGTACCACACTATATATCATACATGTACCACACTATGTATCATACATGTACCACACTATGTATCATACATGTACCGCATTAAGTATCATACATGTACCACACTATGTATCATACATGTACCACACTATATATCATAAATGTACCACACTATGTATCATACATGTACCACACTATGTATCATACATGTACCGCATTAAGTATCATACATGTACCACACTATGTATCATACATGTACCACACTATGCATCATACATGTACCACACTATATATCATACATGTACCACACTATGTATCATACATGTACCACATTATGTATCATACATGTACCACACTATATATCATACATGTACCACACTATGTATCATACATGTACCACACTATGTATCAACATGTACCACACTATGTATCATACATGTACCACACTATGTATCATACATGTACCACACTATGTATCATACATGTACCACACTATGTATCATACATGTACCACACTATGTATCATACATGTACCACACT